CTATAGAACATTCCATCCAAACATAAAGGAATATACCTTCTTCTCAGCAACTCATGGAACCTTCTCAAAAAGTGATTACATACTAGGTAACAAAGCAAACCTTCACAAATACAAAAAAAAAATGGAATAGCCCCATGTATCTTATCAGATCACCATGGCTTAAAACTAGAATCCAACAGCAACACTATTTTCATAAAGCCCACAAACACATGAAAATTAAATAATGTTCATCATCAATGGGCCAAGAAAGAAATAAAGGAAGAAATTAAAGAGTTCCTAAAATTCAGTGAAAATGGCTACACGATATACCCAAATTTATGGGACACAATGAAAGCAGTATTAAGAGTAAAGATTATAGCACCAATTGCTTACATAAAGAAGCTTTAAAAATCTCACACTAGTGAGTTAGCAGAACATCTGAAAACTCTAGAAAAAAAGAAGCAAACTCACCCAGAATGACTAGATGGCAGGAAATAATCAAATTGAGAACTGAAATCAACAAAATAGAAACAAAGAAAACAATATTAAGAATGAGACAGAGAGTTGATTCTTCGAAAAAAAAATCAGCAAATTAGAGAAACCTTTATCCAAACTAACCAAAAGGCATAGACAGAATATCTAAATTAACAAAATCAGAAATGAAAAGGGGGAAATAACAACAGACATGGAGGAAATCCAGAGTCATTAGGTCATATTTCGAAAACCTGTACTCCACAAAATTGGAAAACTTAAAGGAATTGGACAATTTTCTGGATAAATACCACTTACCAAAATTAAAATCAAGATCAGATAAGCAAATTAAATAGAATTATAACTGCTAAAGAAGCAGAAACAGTCATCAAAAGTCTCCCAACAGTAAAAAGTACAGGATCACGTGGTTTCAGCACAGAACACTACAAAATTTTCAAAGAACCAATACCAATGCTCCTCAAATCGTTCCACACAATAGAAACAGAAGAAACATTGCCAAACTCTTTTTATGAGGCTACAATTACCCTGATACCCAAACCAGAGACATTACTAAGAAAGAGAATTACAGACCAATCTCACTTATGAACATTGATGCAAAAATACTCAATAAAATACTGTCAAATCAAATCCAAGAAGACATCAGAAAAATCATCCACCATGACCAAGTTGGCTTCATGCTAGAGATGCAGGGATGGTTCAACATACAAAAATCTGTCAGTGTACTCCACCATATAAACAAACTGAAAAAAAAAGCACATGATCATCTCATTAGATGCTTAAAAAGGCTTTGATGAAATGCATTTCTTCATGATAAAGGTATTGGAGATATCAGGGGATACAAGGAACATACCTACGTATAATAAAGGCAATATATAGCAAACCAACAGAGCCATCATCAAACTAAATGGAGAGAAACTCAAAGTGATCCCACTGAAATCAGAAACAAGACAAAGTTGCTCACTCTCTCCATATCTATTCAATATAGTTCTTGAGGTTCTAGCTAGAGCAAAAGACAACAAAGGAGATCAAGGGGATATAAATCATAAAAAAGAGGCCAAAGTCTCACTATTTGCTAATGATATAATAGTTTACATGAGTAGCCCTGAAAATTCTACCAAGGAACTTCTACAACTCATAAACAGGATTAACTAAAAAAAAAATCAATAGTTCTCTTGTACTCAGATGATAAAAGGGCTGAGAAAGAAATCAGAGAAACATCTCCCTTCACAATAGCCACAAATAACATAAAATATCTTGGGTAACACTAACCAAAGAAGTGGAGGACCTGTATGACAAGAGCTTCAAATCTTTGAAGAAAGAAATTGAAGAAGGTACCAGAAAAAGGAAAGATCTCCCATGGTCTCTTGGGTAGATAGAATTAACATGGTAAAAATGGCAATCTTAACAAAAGCAATCTACAGATTCAATGCAATGCTCATCAAAATCCCAGCAAAATTCTTCACAGTCCTCAATAGAACAATACCTAACTTCATATGGAAAAACAAAAAACTCAGGACAGTTAAAAAAATCCTATAAAATAAAGGAACTTCTGAAGACATAACAATCCCTGACTTCAAACTCTACTACAGAGCTACAGTACTGAAAACAGCCTGGTACTGGTATAAAAACAGACAAGAGGACCAATGGAACCAAATTGAAGGCCCAGATATCAATCCGTCCCCCTACAAACACCTGATTTTTAACAAGGAAGCAAAAAATATAAAATGGAAAAAGAAAGCATATTCAACAAATGGTGCTAGCATAACTGGCTATCAACACATAGAAAAATGAAAACAGATCTATATCTATCACCATGCACAAAACTCAAGTCCAAATAGATCAAAGACCTCAACATAAAACCAACCACACTGAATCTCATTGAAAAGAACGTGGTAAGTGCACTTGAATGCATTGGCACAGGAGAACACTTCCTAAATATAACTCCATTAGCACAGACACTGAGAGAAACAATTAATAAATGAGATCTCCTGAAACTCAGAAGCTTCTGTAAAGCAAAGGACATGGTCAACAAGACAAAAATGGCAGTCTACAGAATGGGAAAGATCTTTACCAACCCCATATCAGACAGAGTGCTGATCTCCAAAATATACAAAGAACTCAAGAAATTGGTCACCAAAAGAACAAATAATCCTATAAAAAAGATGGAGTACAGACCTAAACAGAGAACTCTCAACAGAGGAATCTAAAATGGCTGAAAGACACTTAATGTTCAACATTCTGAGTCATCAGATAAATGCAAATCCAAACAACTCTGAGATTCCATCTTACACCTGTAAGAATGGCCAAGATCAAAAACACTGATGACAACTTATGCTGGAGAGGATGTGGGGAAAAGGGAACACTTCTGCGTTGCTGGTGGGAATGCAAGCTGGAACAACCCCTTTGGATGTCAGTGTGGCGATTTCTCAGCAATTCTAAATTAGATAGTGTGAGAAAAGCCACAGCTACAGAAGAAACTGCTCTAAATAGCAATAAACAACCAACCACACCTGAGAAAAATGGAAAAAATTTCTTAATAACTGGGAATTACATAGAATAAAACAAATAAGAGATTAGAGTAGTGATGCATTTAATGAAAATCAAATTTAAAAAATGAAACTAATAATTGACATTTTAAAAAGATAAATATAATTGAAAACACATAGATATCCTGGCTTTGAAAAAGAGCAGGTCATTCCCTGGTAGAGGACTGGCATTAATAAAATACTGTTTGACCTTGTCCAATATGTGCAATGTTAGCTGTTGAGATCTGTAACCTGACACACACAGTTACATCAATGATCTGTGTCTTAACTCTCTGAGCTGACTTAACTGTGCTGAACAGGGCTGAAAATATCTGCAAAGGAGAGTCCCCTATTTGGAAATTCAGTACTCATTGGCTCAAGCTAACTGCCCCCCAAATTGTGCACCCACCAATCTGGCCTGCCTTCATTCACATGACATGAACTAATACATGATGAGAAATTACAATATCACTATCTCTGCCACAATCAGATCCTATTTAATAATGGTAACTACAGCAGCTGACTTTTTAACCTATTTATCCCTCCAGTGCACACAAGAAATCATTTCTCCTATTCTGGTCTGAAGACAGAAGCCATGTTTTACACGTAAATTCCATACCTGTTACTGCAATGGATAGTTGACTACATGACTCAAAGGGTGAATTTTAAAACTTAGTGATGGTACAGCCTTTAATTTAAGAATTTAGTTGGTTTAATCAAGAGGATGGCAAGGTCATTGCCCTGGGAAGCAACACACTGGGGTCAAGGCCACCTGAGCCAACGCAAGAGAGCTTGTCTCAGAAACATTTTCTTAATGGCTGGAGGTACAGCTATTCTAGAATTAATATCTCCTCCCAGGAAGAAATCATTCCATATAATAAGTAATTAATAAATAACAATCTCTTTGATACAGTGTGCATCCATCTCTGGCTAATGCTAAAAGAGGAGCACCTAGAACAGATGCCATTACAGTAACAAGAAAAAGATTTGTGTGTGGAGCATTTCCTTATATCTTCTGCCTTGGTCTCAGGCTTGGAGGGAGGGCGGCACACTAGGGGGCCATAGTGGGGCAAGTTGATTCCGGGGGCAGGAGCTGGGCACTCAGACATCCATTCTACAGGTTTGGGTATGGTGGGGGTGTGGAGAGCGCCAAGGGACTGTGTCCCAGTTGGTGGTGTGTAGTCACTACGCTTAGTCTCATCCATGCCTGTTCTCAGCCCTGTGGTGCGCACCGATATCCTTGCCGGTTTAGTGGTTCTACCACCCAGAGTCCAGGGAGATCCACCGTGTGGTGCCTGGCGTGTAGGACCATGCAGCCGCCCTGTGGCTTGGAGCAGAGGCCCCGCGATGTCCCTGCCACTGTGAACCCTTTGGCCTGAGCCAACCTGCTCAGCCCAGACAGGCTCAGTATCTGGGAAGCTCCACTCCACTGGAGGCCACCGGTCAAGCAGCAAGAGGGCGCAGGAAAGGCCTCCCCACCCTCCGGCGTGACACCGGGCTCAGCGTAGGGATTTGCGTCAAAATCAACAGCAACTCTCTCTCTCTCTCTCTCTCTCTCTCTCTCTCTCTCTCTCTCTCTTCTTGACATGATTTATTTTAATAAAAAATTCAGCTGAGTATGTATCACAGACTACATGAAACTATACACAGTGACATTCTTACGGCGTAGTAACCAACTCTGGTGTGTATTTGAATTTTAAAATCGATTTTTTTAAAAATAATCCTTTCAAGTGCAATTCAAACGTTTAAGCAAATCACAGAATGAAAGATTTCTAACAATTTAGTAGCAAATCACCGGGCAATCTTTAGATTAGAAGCCAGAGCTGGGAAACACTGAGCCGGGTCCCTTCAGCTCACATGATCCTGTCACTCAGGCTCCACTAGCCAATCATAGCCTCCAGGTGACCCGCCAATCAGATGGGAGGGTTCTTCCCGGGAGCCAGGCTTCTGGCTGAACTCTTTCGCTGAGGAAGTCGGAAGCTGTCGATTGTGCTACACGTTGGGCTCCGTTGTGGAGAGAGCGGGGTCAGCTCCCCAGTTTCACCATGGTGAGCGAGGGGCTGCTCTCCACAGATGGGGAGGAGTTGCTGGCCCTGTTGAGCGTGGGTTTGCTGCCCCCGTACGGGAAGGTGTGTCTGGTCTCGGTGAGTGAGGGGCCGCTGTCCTCAGACTGGGTGGAGCGGCCGGCTGAGCCTGGGAAGCCGGTGTGGTGGGTCCTCTCCTGGCTGCGTGGGAGCTAGTGGCCAGACACAGTGTTCAGCATGTTTCTGCCTGGTCTTACGTGGTCCTGGGTGGTGTTTGCAACTCCCTGGGCCGTGGGGACTGCCTCTTAATAATTTCGCTCCCTGGGCTGCGTCAGCGCAGAGCTTTGGGAGCGGAACTGTGTTTAGAAATATTCTTGTTGACATCACTGTGGAATGCTGGTGCCTGTAGTGCTTATATTGTCACATGTGGAGAGACATCCCCAGATTTGCCAAACTCGAAGAGCCCTGGTTTCCCTAGTGTCTTCCAGAAGTTCTACACTTCTAACATTTAACATTTAGGTTTAGGACCCGTCTGGAGTTAATTTTGTGGAGCTTGTAAAAGGTGTCTCCTGTGTAGAGTAGTGTTCACTGTTAAATGGTTATGTAGAAGAGTAGAATTGATGGTTATAGAATTGATGGTATAAGGATTTACCAATGTTTAGGAGATATAAAGTCATACAAAGCAGAATTTAGGTAAGGGAGGGCTGCATCCCAAATATCCCAAAGATAAATAGTATGCTAACCGTACCTATTAGAGATTAGTGTGATAAGATGTAAATGTTTGTTCACCATTAGGCTACATTCCCATAACAAATCAGACAGCCCTGATTTGCAACCAGCCAAAAGGCCCACCTTCCCATCAAAGGCCTCTAACATGCTGCTCAAGGGGCCATTACAGGGTCACAACCAACATTAAGTCCTGGCTTGCCATTAAGGTATGTTAATTCTACAACAGCTGCATTTCAAGCCTTTTTGAAAAGTAGTCTTGAGCCAAGGTCTCCTATGTTGATTGTGGTGGTCTTGAACCCTGTCTGTAGTCCCTGCTCTCCTCCTGACTGAACACCCTAAATTCTTGGATTACAGCTCTGTAGCACCACAGAGTTCTGAAATTACCAGTTTGAGTCACATAGTGGACTGTCCATTGCAGAACAGGGAAAGGATTTGTGTGTGGAGCATGGCTTCTCCCTTCAGACCAGAAGAGGAGGAACAGTGCTCTGTGTACACTGCAGAGGGGAACAGAATGTACAATAGCTAGATCACAGACTGAAATTTAAGCCAGTGAGCTGCAGGGGTATCCATTACAAAGAAGGACCTGATGGGGTAGGGTGAGTGACTTTCTGTGTGATTTCCCAGCATGTATCAATTCCTTGCATGTTGAATGAAGACAGAATTGGTGGGTGTACAGTTTAGGGAAAATAGCTTGAACTACTAAGTATCCAGTTTCCAATTAACGGTCTCTCCTATGCAGATATGTGCAATTCTGGTTGAAACAGTTGCGTCAACTCAGAAGTTTGAGACACAGGCTATTGTCTGTCACTCCATGTGTCAGCCTACAGCACTCAGTGGCTAACATTTTACAACAAAGTCATACAGCCTCTTATTAGTGGCGTTCTCGCTACCAGGGAAGCGCCTACTCTGTTTCAAAGCCAATATAGCTAAGTGTTCTTCCAGTTATTTTTATCATTTTAAAAAGTCAATTATTGGTATCATTTTAAAATTTCATTTTCTTTAAATGCATTACTTCTCTTATCTCTATTTGTTTCTATTTTTCAACATTTCCAGTTTAAAAATTTCATTCCATTTTTCCTATCTATCTATCTATCTATCTATCATCAGTTTAGATCAGTGGTTCTCAACCTGGGGGTGCATGGCTCCTTTTTGGGGCTCAGATGACCCTGTCACACCTAAGACCATCAAAAAACACAGATATTTATGCTACAATTCATAATAGCAAAATTATACTTATGTAGTAGGAGTAAAAGTAATTGTATAGTTGGGGGTCACCACATCACAAGGAACTGTATTAAAGAGTCATAGCATTAGGAAGGTTGAGGACCACTGGTTTAGATCAGTGTCTCCCGTAGCTCAGGCTTGCCTCATGCTATATTATTGAGAATTGCTTTGAATACCTAATCCTGCCTCTGCTGCTCAGTGGTAGGAAGACAGTCCTGCAACTCCTTCCAGGCTGGGTCTTGGCTGGTCTGTGGGAAGGAAAAATAGATGAGTATCCCTCAGCTTCTCTAGATTTTATTGTGAATTTACAAATGAAGTGGGACCTATGTAAGAACTGAATTCACTGGCCAACTGTAAAGCAGGTGCAGTCTCAACACAGAAAGGGATGGGCCAGAAGTAGGGTGAAAACTTTCCTGCTGTGACAGTAGTTGACATTAGCAATGAGCAGTGAGGCAATAAATTGTAGATGCTCAATAAATATTCTGACTGGCCGTTTCTTGGGTCCACAGACAAGCCAATCAAGAATCTGGATAAAAAAACTGAACTTACCATGAAACCAATTACTGTAGCTACACCAGTTCAACCTAAATAGAAAAAGTCAATAAAATGGTGTGGCCCTGCCATGACTGTGTTTTCCGGGCTTAAGATGTATACCCTGAGAGAAATGGTGAGTGTAGTACTTGGTGTGCTCTAATACAATCCCTAGTCTCTGTAGCATGTGGACATGAATCCTGTTCCAACTTTTCCAAATAGTGTTCAGAATTATAATTACATTATTTCCACCATCTCTTTCCTGCCTCAACGCCCTCCCATCGACCCTTCATTGTGTTCTGATCCATGGCCTCTTTTTGTTTAGCAACAGTTACTGTTTGAATGTGACCTGTGTTTGGCTGCAGAACTTCCCAGTTATGAAGCAAAGGGTTGGCTATATTGGGCATTGAGTGTGTAATGGAATGTGTATGCCTTGGGAGAGGAACCGGAAGTACCCTGGGAGAATGGAGGATTTTATTAAACTACAAATTTCCCAGATTAGGGCTCTGTCTGACCTTAGCATAGAAGGGTATAGCTGGGAGGGCCTGCGAGGTCTGAGTTATTTGATCTCTGCTCACTTAGTAGGGTAACTGCTAATATCCTGAATCCAGACTGGTGGCCCAAGCTAATTGGATACTCTGGGAAGACTTAGCAATCAGGGGCATCAGTGAGAGGTAGCTTACAGGTTTATTCCAGGATTCTTCTCTTGTTCTGCTGTAGGGAGCTGTAAGGAAGACCTCAAGCTATGCCATGGTGAATGGGGGGCCACTGTCCCCAGACCAGGAATAACAGGTTGGCTGAGTGGTCAGAGCTGCTTCGACTGTGATGGACCATGAGCCAGACTGAGGTTCTTTTGATCTGTGTGGTGACCTGAGCAGTGGTCCTTGGCCTGTGAGCTTTGTTGAGTGTGTATTCCTTGGGGATGGGGAGGCTCTGACACCCTAACATCGGAGACTGTGATGCCCGGTAATATCATTGTCCAGTGTGCACATATAGGCCTTGCTCCTGTTGTGCAGTGGAAGACAGTTTGGAAAACTGAAGGCCTAATTTCTATAAGTTCTGAATGTTACATTCCACTTTCAGGTTTGTTTTACAAATGTTACAGATGGTTTAGAAACTGGTAGAAAGGAGGTGATGGGCACTATTCTTCAGCAGTACATGATTAGAATGTTTTCAACTTTCTGCTATTGCTAGCCACTATGGTGTGATTCAGTAAAGTTCAGTTCTAGGGCACAAAAGGAGTTTCTGAGTTGTAATGGTATCTTAGGTTTGTATGGTGTTGGACAGCTGAATAGCACAGATGGCACATCTTTTACCATACTCCATGTAACAGGAAACAGACATTAGTTTATTCTTCTACATTGTTTTTTGATTGGGCATCATTGGGGCTGGGTTTGCCTGAACCACAATGGGGCATGAGAGACTTTAGAGCCTTATTAGGCTCTAGAGGAAATCACCTCCATTTGCAGATAGCTCTAGAGCATGGAGCATCTCTGGAAGAAATATCAGTAGCTAGATGGTCATTCAGAAAGTTAACAGTTTAAGGGTCACTTTGAGATAATTTTGTGGGGCTTGTAAAATCTATGTTTATTTAATTTCTATGCATATAGAATCATAGTCAGCTGTGTAATGTTGGTCAAAATCAGTTTTCCTGGCTGAATTTCTTTTGTTCTTTTGATGAAAAGTTGACCTTATCTTTCTGCTTTTGTTCTTGCCTTTTTTCTCTCCATCATCTTTATTCATTCACAAATGAATGAATGCACATTGTTTGTTGTTGTATCTTTTGTGATAAATATAGAAGTCACATTATGTCAACATGTGTACTGTTTCTTGTAATCCCATTGAGCATTCTTAGTGTTTCCATTGTGCATGTAGCTTTGCAATCAGCTTTTCTGTTACAAATTGTTGGGCATTGTCTTTGGATTGTATTTGGTTCATGTTACAAATTAACCATAAACAACATCTTAATATTGATGAATCATGTTCCCAAGGATCATTCATTTAGGTTTTATTTTAGTTGTAAATCTGTGAAAGACTTTTAGATAATTGGATAAAATGTAGTATGGGCATGGTAGGTCACTCAACACAAATTCTTGGGGATGACCTGAGTTCAGATCCCAGCACCCAAATCAGGAGGCTCATAACCTGCTATTCTAGGTTAGAGGATCTGATAGCCTCTTTTCTGGAGTGTCACCTGTACATAAATGGAAGATGTTCTCTTGAACATACAAACATACACATAAAAATTGGGGATAAATTTGCTTTTAAAAGTACTTGTGACTTATAGTGCAATTATAGCAAAACAAGTTGCTTTTGGTGTATAATATAAATCAGTACATTGTTTCTTTAAAAATCTGTCATCTTGTGTTTGGTTTGGAAAAGTTTTCCTTTCCTCACTCTGATGCAGACTTACATCTAATCATCCATCATAGGAAAGTGATCCTACCTCTTGTGAGCAAGAAGATAGATATGCATAGTTAATATAACAAAAGTTATATTTTATTATGCTGTTGTTCATTATACAAGGTTCCCACTCTGAATTCCCAACCATGGTCCTAAGCCTATCTTACCAAGGCTGCTCACCTGTGCAAAGTATCTTAGCTGAAGTCTCTAACAGAAGTCTCTTATTAAAGGGTCAGGATCCTGGGGGAGATGCTCTAACCACAGAACTGATCAAAGTGATCTTTCCACATGTACAGAGCAAAGCTTATATATTTCTGCTTATATACTGACCAGTAGTTCTGGGACTGTGTCTGGTTTTCTGGAGTGGGTGATATCACTGGGTTCTGGTAATGTCTTGGTTATAGTGGGGTTCATGACTGTTATTACATGTCTAAAAATCATCTAATGAGATTATCATGTGGGTTTTTTTTCTTTCAGTTTGTTTATATGATGGATTACATTGACAGATTTGTGTATGATGTGGGATTTCCCTCTGTATGCTGTGAATATGTTTTACTACCATTGGTTAATTTTAGCTGCTTAGGCCTATTGCAGGACCCTAAGAGGAATGCATGGATCTCCCTGGAAAGAGGAAATAGATGACATGTCCTGGGTAAATGGGGGGTGGGGATGAGTATTTGGAATGGGATGGGGAACGGGAAAATCAGGGGTCAGGATGGTTGAGTTGGGGGGCAGGACGGAGTGGGAGGGTAATGAAAGAGATAGCGTGAAAGAGTGGAACATTATAGGGCTAGGGTGAAAGCTGGTGCCAGGGAAGTCTCCCAGGAACCCACAAGGATGACCCCAGCGAAGACTCCTAGCAATAGTGGAAAGGGTGTGTGAACTGCCTTCCCCTGCAATGAGATTGGTGACTACCCTATTGTCTTTTGTGGGAACCCTAGCAATGGGACCAGGACCTATCCCTGAGGTATGAGCTGGCTCTTTGGAACCTATTCCTTATGGTGGGATGCCTTGTTCAGCCTTGATGCAGCAGTTAAGAGCTTGGTTCCTGCCTCAACTTGGTCTGCCATGCTTTGTTGATTCCCGAGGGAGACCTTACCCCATCTTAATGGAGATGGAGGTGGAGTGGATGGGTAGGAAGTAGAAGGGAGATGGTGGTGGGAACAGGAGGAGAGGAGGGAAGGGAAACTGTTGGTATGTAAAATAAAATAAAAAAAATGTCTGTGGGTTATAGATAAAAACAGCAGTAGGTAGTTTCAGATGGCAGTCAAGTGCTGAACAGATCGGAATTTTTAGGAAGCTTGTCACCAGTAAAGAGAAGGCCCTTGCTCTTCATTAGAAGCTTTGCAAAGTACCCAATGGGTAATAATCCATCTTTCTGTGCCATTGGTTAATGGAAGGTTTAGGCAAAGTGACTTCTAGTTCCAGGAAGCAACTTCATACAATGCCTGCTCCAACTCTGGACCAATCATGGTAGGGTTCATCACAACTTAGCAGCGAAATTTGGGCGAGTCATCAATGTTGTACTGGTTCTGGAAACAAGAAAGATGCAAAAGTTAAGGGCATTCATTCTTAGTCTGTGATTTCTGTTTAGCACTGTTGTAGGCATTTGTGTTTGGTGGAGTCAGAGCTCCAGTGAAGAGATAGATTTCATTGAATGATGCTGTGAGGATGAAGCCTGGGCTGTATTTTGAGAACATACGACGTTGAGATACTTAAGCTATGAGACATCTTCCATGGAGAGCTGCATATATGGAGTGAATGTAACCAAAGAGTGAAATGTATGGGAAGTTGTGGTGATACAGCCATCTGAGCCCTTTGAAACTGAAACCCCATGTGTCTGACACAAAACTACTGGATTTGAATGTTGCCCTTCTGGGTTTCAATCTTGCCTTGGTCCAATCTTCCCTCACTATGTTTCAATTCCTCTCCTTTGTAATGGGAATTGGTATTCTGTGCCATTGTATTATGGAAAGATTTAGTTTGTTTTATGATTTTACAAGATGACACAGTCAAGAGATTGTCTTGAGTATCAAAAGAGACTTTGGACATTTGAACATTGTAGGGGCTGTTGCAGACTGTGAGGATCATTGACATGACTAAATACATTTTCTTCATGGATGACCCTGAGCCTATGGTGACCTGGGTCAGAATCTTGTTTACTGAATTAAGAAAAGCTCCCAGATAGGATGATGCAGTTGAGCATGTGTCTCTCTTTGGTGGTTTTCTTTGGGGTGCTTGTGGAATCTTTAGTAGGAGGAACCTTCCTGGATGAAATTCCTCATTGGGGATGGGATTGGAATGTCTATAGTCTCAACTCATTTCTTGTTCTCTGTTTCTAAACGGTGTTGTGGTTGAAACCAATCAGCCAGCTTCCTTCTTGTGTTGTCATGACTTCACCACCATTAATGATGGTATCCCTAAATCACATAAGATAAATTTGAACTAATTATTATTCAGTGCTAAGCCATTTTGCTAGCCTGAGGTTTTTTTTTTTTAAGTTTTGTTGTTTTCATTTTTTATTTCTGAAAACAATGTTTGTCTGAGTAGCCCTGTCTGTCCTGAAAGTTGCTCTGTAGATCAGGATAACCTATAACTCAGAGATTCCCTTGACTCTTGCTCCCAAGTGCTGGGATTAAAGGTGGGCCAATATTCCTTGGTTTTTTTATGTATATTCTTGGGTGATAGGCCTAGAGTGTAGGTTTTTGTACATGTCAAGCATATGCTCTTTTGCTGAGCTTTACCCCAACTTAGATTTTGAAATTTGGCAGATTATCAATCTCTTTCCTAGGATGGCAGTATTCATGATCCAGGAAGTATTCATAAATGCCTGGATTACAGGTATGTAGCATTCTTCCTTCTTGTTATGTTTTTCTTTCCCTTAATAAATATGATTCTTTTGCCTGTATACATGGGTATGCCCCACATGTGTGCCTGGTCTTTGCAGTAGTCAAAAGAGGCCCTGAGCTTGGAATGATGGATAATTGAAAGTACTGGCAATTGAACACACTTAAATGCAAGACCAGGAAGGGCTCTTAACTTTTGAGCTATCTCTTCTGCCCTGTGTTGATTATTTGTGATCAACATTTACGTTGCAAACATTTTCATCTGTCTATTTGTAACTGTTTAAATGCACAGTTCCTTTTATTAAGATTTATTAAAGTTACAGTTTAAACTAGAGCACTTTAGGTTTCTGGAAAATGAATACAGATCTGGAGTGAATGCATAACTTTGTAGAAACTTCAATAAAACAAACTCTGAGTTCTTTCAATCTTTTTTGTATGATTGATTTAATAGATACTTAATAGTTACTTCTTGCTGTCCTGAATTTGTTTGCATAGACTAGGCTATCATTCACTTCAGAGGCAGGTATATCTGCCTCTGCCTTCTTGTAAACTGCTTTGGGTGGGTTACTTAGTCTAGGGGTTGTAACCCACCCTGCAGTCAGTTATTCCAGGGTCCCAGAGAGGCACTATCTGTAAGATAATGGGCTAAGAGAGAAGAAGAAGGCCAAGCGGGGGTTCCTGTCAAATCCTTCATTTATTAGAGACAGGGTCACAGCTTATATAGGAAAAGGAATTGGGGGGATGAGGGAGGAGCCTGGGCTCTTGCCACGTGGTTCATGTTGGTCACATAGGCCAGGAGGTTATGTTTGGTCAGGTCACGTAGGTCAGGAGTTCACAACTAGGAGTTGACACACCTAGTTCTCTAGATAGTTTGGAATGTGGGGCGGGTTCCACTAACAGATAGCTCTCCATTAACAGCCAATTTGGGTGTGGGGTAGGCTCTGTCAATAGAACGATTCCTAACACAATTAGGGGTGTGGGGTTCTCTGCAGACTCCCCAGGGTCATGATTCCTGCAATAATCCTAGGAGGAAAAGGCTCCTGACACCTTCTGATTTCTGAGATTAAAGTCATGAGCCAAAACACCCAGCCTGCTCATATTTTTTATAGTTAGTAATTGTTCATACAATTTCTGTGATATGTACTCCATACTGTTGATCTGCTTGCTTGTCTCTCTATGTTAGTATGTATTTTTCTTGCAAGGTGATGTCCCATTCAGAAATCACAGAGGTAAACCTATTCAGTTTCATTCTAAAGTGAATTGATGATTATATTACATGTCTGTGTCCTAGAAAAAGTGTGGGAAACACCAGAATTATATGACTATAGTGTCAAAGAAGTATACATTTACAATGTTGTCAGTATGTTTTTTGTTGTATGAATGTACGGCATATTTTAGGATACAGTGACCTATAATGATGTCCATGTCGACTTCACTCGGGAAGAGTGGGCTTTGCTTGATCATTCCCAGAAGAATCTCTACAAAGATGTGATGCTGGAGACTTATATGAACCTCACTGCTATAGGTAATACTGTGAATTTTCCTTCATGTATTGAAATAAAGAGACAACTGTTTCTTTGCTATTGCTACTCTTCTGTATTTTTTTTTATTGAGAATGAGGAAGAATGAGGTTAATAAATCAGGCATGGTTCTAAGGATCACTGAAGATAGTAACTTAAATTTTACACAATTTCCAATAATATATCATACATTTTCTGACACTGTATTTTAGGCTACAACTGGCAAGATCATAATATTGAAGAACATTGTCACAGTTCTCAAAGACATAAAAGGTAATTTTAATGTGTAAGTAGATGCAAATGTGCCTCTCAAGATATTTTAAATGTATCTGAAAGTTTTCAAGAAAAGCCAGTGGTGTAAATGTTCACCACTTAAAATGCATTGATGATTATTAAATTATCCAAAACCATATACTTCAATGGCAAGTGATTGAATTATGTCTGTAAGTCATACTTTTAAGAAGGAAGACAAGGAATCAATGCCTTAACAGATATCACCATTTGAATCATTCTTTGCTCCATCAGATCCATGCTGTAAAATAGTCAATCCATTTAGTTTCATGCCACTCATATTACAAAAGATATACTCATTGAATAGTTGATAAGTATATGTTGAAAGCCTTCTAATAAGCAAGTAGGCCATAGTAAAACTAGTATTATTCATATAGTTGTTCTGACTTTGCTAAGTTTAATTAGATGGATAGGTAGTTAGAGTCAAAAAGCTAGGGGGAGTTTTGGAGAAACCTTAATCCCTATGCCATATGTCTATGTGAAACAGAAAGTCAAATGTGTGAATGCAATGTGGAAACCTTTTATTTGTTATTCTTTCTTTAATAGGTATGTTATATGTCACTCTGGAATCAAGCCATATGAATATAGGGATATGAAAAGGAGCAATGTACCTCTCCCCATCTGAGAACAATTAGAAGATATGTAGTTGTCCCCATGTTGAATAAATCTGTTGAATGTGAATTGGGTTACAAGCAGTTGGTTTTCCATCTACATTGGTAATACATCAACAAACTAATAATACAGGAAAGCCCTATAAGTACTAGAAATGTGTAAATACTTCTGTTTGTCCTGGTTCACTTTGCAAATGTAGTATGACTCACAATATAGGAAAATTTATAAATGGAATAAGTTTAGTAAAGGTTTGAATTCTTCCAGTTCTCATCAAATATGTGAAAAATCTCGTAGAGAAAAAGATGCCATAAATGTGAGCCAGGTAATAAAGACTCTTAACATAACGGGCATCTTTAATGTGTAAAATAACTCTCAATGAAAGAGAACAGCATTAGTGTAAACCAATCATAAAAACTTAAGTTCTAATTACTGTTTACAATTAGACCAAATAGTAAAATTGATTCATACAAATATAAAGATTCAGCAGTGTTATGAAGGTTATAAAACTTTTACATGTGCCAATTTTCTTTGCAGGCACAAAAGAAGTCATTCTGGAGAGAAACCTGAATATACTCAATGTGTTAAAACCTTTGCATATCACAGTAATCTTCAAAGGCATCAAAGAATTTATACTGGAGAGAACCACTATGAAGGTGTTCAGTGTGGTGAAGCCTTTGGATGTCAGAGTAGTCTCCTAATACATAAAGGAACATATACAGGAGAGCAACCCTATGCATGTAATCCATGTGGTAAAGCCTTTTCATGTACTCTCCAAATGCATCAAAGAATACATATTGGAGAGAAACCGTATGAATGTAATAAATGTCAGAAAGCCTTTGTATATCACAGTCATCTTCAAATGCATGAAAGAACACATACTGGCGAGAAACCCTACAAATGCAACCAATGTGCTAAAGCCTTTGTATATCCCAGTCTTCTTCAAAGACATGAAAAACCACATACTGGAGAGAAGCCATATGTATGTAATCAGTGTGGTAAAGCCTTTGCATATCACATTTGTCTTACAATACATAAAAGAACACATACTGGAGAGAAACCCTATGAATGTAATCAATGTGATAAAGCCTTTGCCCAGCACAGTGCTCTTCAAATGCATGTAAGAACCCATACTGGAGAGAAACCGTATGAATGTAATCAATGTGGTAAATCCTTTGCTCATCACAGTACTCTTCAAATGCATAAAAGAACACATACTGGAGAGAAGCCATATGAATGTAATCAGTGTGGTAAAGCCTTTGCTCATCATAGTGGTCTTAAAAGGCATAAAAGAACACATACTGGAGAGAAACCTTATGAATGTAATCAATGTGGTAGAGCCTTTGCTCATCACAGTACTCTTCAAATGCATAAAAGAACACACACTGGAGAAAAACCCTATGAATGTAATCAATGTGGTAAAGCTTATATATCCCAACACGGCCTCCAAATGCATGAAAGAACACATACTGGAGAAAAACCATATGAATGTAATCAATGTGGTAAAGCTTTTGCACAATACAGTACTCTTCAAATGCATAAAAGAATACATACGGGAGAGAAACCCTATCAGTGTACTCAGTGTGGTAAAGCCTTTGCATATCACAGTCATCTTCAAATGCATGAAAGAACACATACTGGAGAGAAACCCTATGAATGTAATCAGTGTCATAAAGCCTTTACACAACACAATACTCTTCAAATGCATAAAAGAACACATACTGGAGAGAAACCCTATGAATGCAATCAATGTGGGAAAGCCTTTGCATATCACAGCAATCTTAAAATACATAAAAAAACACATACTGGAGAGAAATCCTACAAATGTAATCAATGTGATAAAACCTTTGAATGTACGAGTAATCTTTGAAATCATAAGAAAAAAATCATCTGAATGTAGTTAATGTGGCAGAGTTTTGTAAGTCATGGTTCTTGTTCTTTATACAATAATAAAACTTTTAGTATGTTGTTAGTCTGTTAAAGCCTTTGAATATAACATTAGACTTGAGAATATGAAAAAAAGTCATACCATAGGGAATCTGAATATAAATGATTTGGTAAGATCTTTAGCAACCACACTTAATTTCTATTACACAAAAGTATTTATTATGGAGAAATCAGTGTGACATGTGCCAACAATCTGTTCAAGCATTATAATGTGTACATCCGTAAACTCACATGAACAAAAGGCCTATGAATTTAAATACTTCTCTTCAATTAAATGAGATAATGTTCCAGGTATAAAACTTCATGGATGTGTATTAGTGCCTTTTCTGTTGCTGTGATAAAGCAACATGTTTAAATTTCAAGATTTGTTTTGGTTTTAATTATGCCATGTCACTGTTTCTTTGTGTGGGTATGTTCATGTTCATTCTGGTTCCCAAGGTTTGACCCTTGGCACTGTTCAAGCATTATAATGTCCCTCTTTATTTTGTTTTCACCTACAAACTCACATGGACAATAGGCCTATAAATTTAAATGATAATGAAATCTTTTTTATATTTCATACTTCAATTATATGAGATAATGAATCTAGGTCCATGTATAATGAATACATGGACATGTATTAGTGCCTCTTCTGTTGCTGTGATAAAGCAACATGTTTATGTGAACTTATGCCAGGGTTTAATTTGGCCCTTGGTTCTAGAGAAATACAGGACCACTGTGAAAGTGACCTGGAAACAAGTGTCAAACATGGCAGTTAAAATAAGAAGCAAAAAATTCACATCAACCTGCAGCATGAAGCAGAAAGGATAAACTGGAAATGGCGTGCATATGTAAAGGCCAACCCCAGTGACATATTTCTTCCAGCAGGGCAGATTTCCCTAAATCTTCCCATATGATACCACAGATTGAGAATGATTGATTTCACTGACTTCAAGCCAACATGTTGCTTTCTGTTACATGATCCAATTCATAATGGAGAAAAACTCTGTAAACCTTTAAATGCCTCAACACCTGTATTACAGGAATTACAATAGAAAAACACAAGTGAAAATTAGTTTCAGGATTTGTTTTAATTTAATTATGCCATGTGACTGTGTCTTTATGTGGGTATGTGCTTGTGTGTTCTGGTTCCCAAGTAGGTTAGACCTTTGTAGCTTCTTGTAGCAGGAATTATTGAAAGTTGTCAAAACCTGACCTTGGTCCTGGGAATGAACTTGCATTAAGGGCTTGATGATGTCTCTAGCTCTGTAAATATTTTAAAGCTTTCTTTCTATCATCTTGATATCAGTAAATAGGGAGGAATTCATACAAGAGAGAAACCTTATTCATGTAAACAAATTTGTAAAGACTTTTGACATCACAGTTGTCTTAATTTCAAGGAAAAAAACTTATTTCATCTCTTTTTCATTGTAGCCTTGAAGTAAATAATTAATCAAGTCCAGTAAAGACTTATGTGAGGATCACATTGTGGCTTCTATTTTGCAATATGGGAGGTAGATATAAAAGTGTACTATATGTGTAGCAAATCCATTTAATGAATTTTGTAGCACAAGTTCTAATAGGCATTAGTAGTAAAGGCCCAGGATAAGATAGAAGGAAAAAATACTAGATTGAAACTCTATGAACATAAAGAATATGGCAAAGCCTTTTTACATCACAGTCATCTTCAGATACATAAAAGAACACATACTGGAGAGAAGCCCTATGAATGTAATCAGTGTGGAAAAGCCTTTGCACGTCACAGTACTCTCCAAATACATGAAAGAAGCCATACTGGAGAGAAGCCCTATGAATCTAATCAGTGTGAAAAAGCCTTTGCATGTCACAGTAGAATCCGAAAACATGAAAGAAACCATACTGGAGAGAAGCCCTATGAATGTAATCAGTGTTGAAAAGCCTTTGCACGCCATTGTCATCTCCAAGTACATAAAAGAACGCATACTGGAGAGAAATCTAATGAATGTAATTAGTGTGATAAAGCCTTTGCTTTGCTTACAGCATAGTTATTTTGAAGGTGCCTCAATGCCTGTGTTATAGGAATGAATGCTTATAAGAGAGAAACTGTCATGTGTGAAAAACTGTTTAAAGAGTTGTTTTAATTGTAATTATGTGATGTCATATGTTTGTGTGGGTACGTAAATTTTTCATGTTGGCTTCTGAGAATGTTCGACCCTAGGATCTTCTTGTAGCAAGAATTACAGAAAGGTGTCAAAAATTAGGCCTTGGTCCTAGGAATGAATATTTCTTAATTGCCCAGCCATGTTTCTAGTGCTGTAAATATTTTAAAGTCTATTTGTATCATGTTGAAGTCAAGAAATACGGATAAACTCATATGAGAGAAAAACTCTATTCCTGAAAATGATTTTGTAAAGACATTAGACATCACAGTTGTCTTCAGCTTCAAGAAAAAAAAAACATGTTTCTTTCTTTTTTTTTTTTTTTTTGTAATAGCTAGCCTTGGAGGAAGTAAATAATTTACCATGTTCACTGAAGACTGATGTTAGAGATCACTTCATTGTGGTTTCTAATTTGAAACATTTGAAATGAAACTAAGCCGGGCGGTGGTGGCACACGCCTTTAATCCCAGCACTCGGGAGGCAGAGGCAGGCAGATCTCTGTGAGTTCGAGACCAGCCTGGTCTACAGAGCTAGTTCCAGGACAGGCTCCAAAACCACAGAGAAACCCTGTCTTGAAAAAAACCAAAAAAAAAAAAAAAAAAAAAAACTAAAATGTGCCTCATGTGTGACAAATTCATTTCTTGCCTCTAAGACTTTCTAGAAATTAGAAAAATCATAAATCTTTCTTTATCAAGAGTTGCTGTTTGAGTTTGTCTTCAGAATATCTGAACTATGAGGGAAAGGGTGAAGGAACACACACACAAGGGACACCATATTTTGGAAGAGGAACAAGAAGTGCTCTGAGAGACTGGAAGAGTTTCTACTAAAATACCAATTTTCCAGACTAGAGCCCTGTGTTTCCCTAGGGTGGAATGGCAGAGCTGGGAAGGGCTGTGCTGGCTTAGTTATTTGATTTATGCTCATCTAGTAAGGGAATTGCTACTGTCTTTAGGCTCAGCTGGGCAATTCTAGCTTTTGAGCTATTGGGTACTGAAGACCAATGCAGGTTGCAAACATTAATCCCTCTGTGTTGTCGAGGCCAGTTGAGCATCTAGTCTTTAGAGGTCACTTGTGCTTGGAAGGAATCTCAGATTCAAGTCTCTCTATTATCAGTTGTCCATCAATGTGAGGATAAGACAAAAGCTTTGCTTTATGTGTTGTGGCTTTCTTTGAAACCTTGAAGAAATATTTCCCACATTGATCCTTCTTTTGTAGACTTGATAAAGATTCCAATTCATTGATTCGGTTATCCATGGCTTCCATGAACAGGACAATAAATGATCAATAATTAGCCTTTGTACCCAGGGACCTCACTGACCTTGTATAGAAATGAGAGGAATATTCCCGCTTTTGGTCCCTCTAATGACATTAGAATAGCCTCTTAGAATGATTATTAAACACCTAGAAGATCAGTTTTATACTAGTTTTGTACTTTTAACTACTTTATAAGACTTCAATAGTCAGACACAACTCAATATACTTTGTTTGACATACCTTTTAGCCAATTTTTGAAATAGTTGGAATATGACCTTGCAAACTTTAATAAATATGTAATCCCTAAATCTCATCCTTATGTACCTTAAACAACTTACTCGACATTCATAGAGTGTAAAACCTTTCCAGTCTTCTTTATCCTGGAGCCATCCAGTCATAATCATGTTCATATATCTAAGTCCTTTTTTACTATGGTCATTTACACACTTATATTCTTCTAACATGTTTTTTATGTACTGCTTCCTTTTACTAATACCATTAGAAGTAGGAACATTAACAAATATGTTTATGATCTGTTGTGAGAATTTTCTCTCCTGTGAAGGGGGAGGAAGCAATTTCTATCCTATAACCATAAGCCCCAACGAAGATACAAAGTACAATATCACCAAAGTCCATCCTGGGGATCCAGTGAGTTTATTGAGCTTACTTACTGAGCATGGTCAAAAAGGTACTTAGAAGGGTTTTGATTCTGTGGTTGTTTGAATCAAAATGACCCCCAAAGTCCCATGGAGAGTGGCACTATTAGGAGGTGTGGCCTTGTTGAAGTATGTCATAATCACTTTCTGTTGCCTGCTGATCTGACACATAGCTCTTTCTCCAGCACCATTTCTTCTTGCATTCACCATGCTTTCTGCTATGATGATAATGGACTAAATCCTCTGAAACTGTAAGCCAGGCCCAATCAAATGTTTTCCTTTATAAATGTTGCTGTGGTCATGGTGTCTCGTCACAGCAATAGAAGCTCTAAGATGCCCAAAAGCAGCCACAAGGCATGTCTCCATCCAGTATGTACAGTGGCTCTCCCATAGTTGCATATGTGGAGCTTACCTTCTCTTTACTCTTCCATTGCCCATATACTCTCCATTACAGTATATTTCTCAGTGGACATAGGATGTAAGCCTGATAGCACTCAAGGTAAATTCCCACTTTCAAAGACAGCTTTCTAATAGGTGCTGACACAAAATCTAGATCCACCTAAGTCTTTCCGTTGGGAGGTTTCTCTAAGGCAATGATGTATAGAGCAACAACAGAGCTCTGTCTCTAATATCAGGAATACGCGTGGGAGAGCTGGTAAAGATGTGGGGCCAGGGCCTTTGGAAAAGGGTTGTTTCAGATCCTCAGAACTCAAGACTTTTCACAGACGGGTGAAAACTGTGGTTATCAGTCCTAACACCACTGTGGACTTTGTTTATAATGTTCTTGATTTTCCCAATGTTCCTTTTCTGCAACATTGTCTGGTTAGCCTTTTTCTGAATTTGTATACTTCCTTTTAAAACTGAACTCATTGATTTACATTAGCAAGAGACTTGCTGTTGAAATTGATGTAAATCTCCAGCCAATCTGTGATATGTCTGTCTGTAGATTAGCAGCCAGTGCTGGGAACACTGTGCTGTGTCCCTTCTGCTCACCTGGTTCTGACATTCACACCTCACTAGCCAATCAGAGCCTTTACCCGTCAAATGGGAGGGCTCTTCCGGGAACCAGTCTTCTGGTTTAGTGCTTCCTGAGGAAATTGCAGTCTCTCTCATGCATGGTGCCTTGGCTCCCACGTGGGGAGAGATGGTGTCTGTTCATCAGCTTCAACATGGTGAGTGTGAGGTTGCTTTCCACAGACAGGAGATGTGGTGGGCCAAGGTGTGTAAGAAGCTGCTGTCACCACATGCGGAGGAGTGACTGGGCTTGGCGAGTGAGGTACCGCTGTCCTCAAACTAAGTGGAGCGGCCTGCTGAGGTTTGTGGCTGGTGTGGTGAGTCCTCCCCTGGCTTGGTGGGAGGCAGTGGACAAACACAGTGTTTAGTGTGTTCCTGCCTTGTTCTAAGTCATCCTAAGTGATCCATGCAACTCCCTGCTGGCAGTCTCTGAAAACTTCACTGCCTGGGCTGTGTCTGCACAGAGCAGAGCCTTGGGAGCCGCAAATGGTGGTACCTGTTGTTATGGTTTTGGTCTCTTTAAGAGACAAGCCACACCCATTCCCCTCCCCATCCGCTGAGGCAGGCTGATCTTCAGCTTCCGGCCTGAGCTTGCTCTTTTCCATCTTCCTCTCGGAGAGCCAACTTTGCTTCTGCCTCTCTCCCCACTTCTCTGCTTCCCCCCTTCTCTGTTTCTCTTTCTCTCTCTCTCTCTCTCTCTCTCTCTCTCTCCCTCCCTCTCTCCCTCTCTCTCTGTCCCCCCTTTCACCCTTCCTCCTCCATAACCCCCTGAATAAACATTCAACCTCACCCTGCATGTTGTGTCTATCCATGTTTCTGTCTTCTGCCCGCCTGCCATGTGTCTCCCTGCCTGGGACCAGCCATTGCTCAGGGACCAGCAGCCACCACCACTGCTCTGGGACCAGCAGTTGTCTCTGCCTGGGACTGGCTGCTCCCAGGGCCTGCTGTCTGCCGCCACATGGCCCGCTGCGACCGCTTGGGCACCGCTCTGGGACTGGCAGCCATTTCTGCCTGGAACTGGCTGCTCCCAGAGCCTGCTGCCTGCCACCACATGGCCCACTGCCACCATTTGGGACCTACAGCATTTCTGCTGCCTACTGCCGCAGGGATCTTGCAGCATTTTTAAAAAAGAACAACACCTGTGGTGCTTATGTTGTTGCATGTGAAGCCAAATTTTCCAAACTGGGAGACTACTGGTCTCTCCAGTATCTTTAGAAGTTCTGCACTTTTAACATTTAGGTTTAGGATCCATCTGTAGTTAATTTCGTGGAGCTCATAAATGGTTTCTCCTTTGTAGAGTATCACTCCACTGCTAAACTGTGAAGTAGGAGAACATAACTGATAATAGAATTAATGATATAAGAATTTACCAGTTGTTAGGAGACAGTAAGTCACACAAAGTAGAATTTAAGTAAGGGAGGACTGCATCCCAAATGCCCCAAAGATAAGTAGTATGCTAACCATGCGTGTTAGAGATTAGTATCATGAGATTCAAATGTTTGTTCGCCAGGATTAATAAGCAATTAAGTTACATTGCTATAACAAACGAGACAACCATGATTTACAACCAGCCAAAAGACCCACTTCCCAGTCAAAGACCTCTAACATGCTGCTGAAGGGGCCATTACAGGATCACCACCTGTGTGCCATGAAAGTATAATAATTCTAGAACAGCTGCATATTTCAGTTGTAGAAGGTGGCTCATTAATGAAACTCCAAAGAAATGAAACCATCATGCAGATTTCTGGTGGGAGAAAGACTTATTATCTGTTTTTAATCTGTGATCTAGTTCTTGCTTTTCTTTCCTGGTTTTCTGAAATCCCCGTGACATCCAGGTAAAAATTACCTTCAGTTCATGTGACCTCAGTATGGTGTCACATAACAAATATCTCGTTTTTTATCTTTAAATCTCCCTTTAGCTGTTAATATTCTGGGCATCCTTCCACCTGTGGGACAGTGGCCTGTACAAGCTAGCTTGTGTCAAGGAGAAGAACAGGCAGTGCCTGTGGAGAGCTGGAAGATAGCAGATCTGATATTGGAGCCAGGGGCACATGCTATGGAAATGCACCTCTACTGATCTAGAAAAGGTCTTTGTGATAAAAGCCAGGGCCAGGAACCACTGAGCTGTGTCTTTGATTTTCATTTTTTAAATTTTTATTTCATTAGTTAGTTAATTAATTTATTGTTTTTCAAGACAGGATTTCTCTGTAGCTTTGGAGCCTTTCCTGGAATTAGCTTTTGCAGATTTCTTTCTTTCTTTCTTTCTTTCTTTCTTTC